ATACGTTCGCTGACTTTGGTAATTAGATTATTACAGAGAAGAGAAACTGGACACTTCGGCATAACTTCATTTTCAATTTTTTTCCACACTAGTTTCAAATCGTGAAAAACACCCAAAGCACGAGATAAACATTGATCCACGTAGACTTATCTCACCAGTTCAAGTGTCTCAAGCCTACTCTTCTTAGTCTGAAACATAATTATTGTTCAACCTTTGGCCCCACGCTGCATACGCAACAATGCAACGTTCACTAGCTAAAACAAAATAGCTGTTTACTTGTAGTCTGCTGACTGGGCGGTGTTTCAAGTTTGCCAGATCAGAGGTTTTAAGGTTTTTGAACAACGGATCAACATCATGGCACACGGGTAGTAAACCACAAGAGCTCCGTTTTTCTTCTAACTCAAGTCTGAGTCCGAAGAAGCTCAGCACAGTGCACAAATTCTGTAGCACCGGTGAGGATCCTGACATACTTTGGCTAGATTTTTAACTAAAAATTTTCTCACCACCCAGAGACCAGGAGGAATTACTAGAGGTCCAAGTCCACGTGTAAATCCTCGCCCTTATCAAGGATTGAACCCGGAACCTCTAGCACTCGAGGCGGACACCATGCCTCAAGACCACGCAGCCCCCTCCCCTTCCACTGCCAGATCAGAGACAGTCGCTTAGCGAGGACTGGTGGTACTTGGTGCGGAGAATTTCATTTCACCCCAGTGTCATTGCAAGGTCAGCACCCCCTCCCCCGTACCAACCCTGCTACGCCTATGATCAAAGATTAAAATGTAGCCCTCTTTATAAAATACGTTGCTTGGTAAATGGCATGTTTGTTTAGACCACAATAAAATCAGTCTCATTATTTCATTGGGTTAAAGTAACGTTAGTCTTGCTACGACCCGTCCATGTACACACTAGCTCACTAATGATTTGTAGTTCCTGAGCCTGTCACCCTGGCACGAGGTTACTGGGGTGTTCTGCATTGCCTTTAATATCGCGTGTTGCATATTTAAGCACGCCAGCGCTGTTAAAACTCCAAAAAACATGGAGAAACTGGCCCTAACACAAACCCCCTCCTCCTAGAGATTGCTGCAACATATGTCACAGGCATTCTCTTTCTTGGAATGAAAACGTAAATGCAAGACACTGCTGAAAGCAAACAATAGACTGGAACACACCTGTAATCTTCATGAAAGTCGACCAGCCCAACAAACTTGTGAATGAAAAGGGACCTACTTTGTTTGAGGGGATTTACGTGAACCTAACCTTTCATTGTTAGATTGTGTATTCTCTAGGTAAATCCTAAACATGTGGATCTTCAAGGCAACTCTTTTTGGCGTTGTGATCGCGATTATAAACGGGCAATCTAATTTTGGTAAGTTTAATTGTGTTGTTCATTAAACTGAAGGTGTTTTCCTTTCTCGATCCACGAAATTTCCTGTGTGGGTGCCTCATTGTGGTGGTGGGGGCGTGAGGGAAGAAGAATATACCCATTACCCCCAACAATCATGTCGTAAAAGGCGACTAAAGACGGGTGTTTCCTTCGAAGTTGGTGTGTATCTGCATAAAAGGCGAGTAATGAACGCAGACTGCAAGCAAATAAAATATGCCAGATTTTTAAAATGGATGCGTACTCAAGTTCTGGAAAAAGGCCAAATCAACAAAGGGACCAGCAGCCAGAACTTTCAACAAGATGAGCGCTAGGAAGAAGACAGATCCACGAAGCAGGTCCTCGACAGTCCTGTTTTGTTAAATCCATTCTGTTAACGGAGCAAAAAACTAACCACGTGTCAAATTAATTGTTTTAGAGGTTTTGAGGTTTTGAACAACGGATCAACATCATGGCACACGGGTGTAACAACTAAGTGCTCCGTTCTTCTTCTAACTCAAGTATGAGTCCGCAGAAACTCAGCACACTGCACAGGCTCTGTAGCACCGGCGAGGATCCTAAAATACTTTGGGTAGATTTTTTCAACTCCAACGTGAACAAAGCTAGAAGAGATCACGAGAGAAACGATGAAACAAAAAGAAGCTGACAGCCAACTAAGGCTGGGTCCAACTGGGAGCTAAGACTGGGTCCATCTGAGGCTAAGGCTGGGTCCACCTGGGAGTTAAGCTGGGTCCACCTGGGAGCTAAGACTGGGTCCACCTGGGAGCTAAGACTGGGTCCACATGGGAGCTAAGGCTGGGTCGACCTGGGAGCTAAGACTGGGTCCACCTGGGAGCTAAGACTGGGTCCACATGGGAGCTAAGACTGGGTCCACCTGGGAGCTAAGACTGGTCCACCTGGGAGCTAAGACTGGGTCCACCTGGGAGCTAAGACTGGGTCCACATGGGAGCTAAGACTGGGTCCACCTGGGAGCTAAGACTGGGTCCACCTGGGAGCTAAGGCAAGGCCCACCCGGGAGCTAAGACTGGGTCCACTTAGGAGCTAAGACTGGGTCCACCTGGGAGCTAAGGCAGGGCCCACCTGGGAGCTAAGACTGGGTCCACCTGGGAGCTAAGATTATTTGTATTTTTGAAAAGTGTCCAGCTCCGTCAGAACCTGAACTCGCGAGCTTAGGATCCGCAGGCGAGCGTTTAGTCGCTGCACCACTATTGCTCCTAATTTATGGAAAGTAGATTGTAAACATGGCCAAAGATTACACCAATTCTTGTCCACTGTCTGGATTCCGGGGTCCAAGCGTATGGGAAATAAAACTAGACCCACTCTTCCCTAAGAAATGTATCGTAAAATTCGACTATGCCCAAGAAACGAGGAACCAACAGTCTGTATTTAAAAAAAAGATGTGTAAAACTGGTGTGCATGCAAAACTCAAAACCTGGAAAAACACAAAAGTCTAGAACTAGAGGAACAAAGAGAACTTTCCACCTCGAGTTTACTGATGACTAATGTGAAGAAGCAGAAGCAGAAGCAGCAGAAGATCTACGCTGTGTATTCAAACATATATAATTAATCTGATTCGTTGTCTTATAGAATAGTGATTCCCATGTTGCCTTGGGGATTTTTTTTTTATGTGGGGGAAAATTCTTCTACCGATAACGTACTGGTTTTCTGAATAAAAACTGGGGACTTATTCTCCACTTTCATGTATTTCTGACAGTTCATTTCTTCATAACCTGTGTTATGTGATCCTGTCTAAGCATTCAGGTCACCCATGGACATTTTTATATAGCTCTTTGTTTTATTATTTATCCCTCTCTCTCTCTCTCTCTCTCTCTCTCTCTCTCTCTCTCTCTCTCTCTCACTCTCTCTCTCTCTCTCTCTCTCTCTTATTGTACCCCACCAGGACACCACACAAGCAATAAACACCCGGTGACACAAAGTGCCACAATGCGGATGAGAATCACCCGTGGAGAGGTCACAGAAAGCCCTTTCAGCTGTTAGGCCATATTTATGACCCGGCTATATCCGGGCAAAATCCATCAAGTAACGAAAAATGGCATCCCACATGGGGAGACTGATATCATAACCTGTGTTATGTGATCCTATCTTAGCATTCAGGTCGCCTATTAACATTTTTATAATGTTCTTTCTTTTATTATTTATATTTTGAAGTTGAAATTAGATGTAAAATGCCTCTTTAACTGATTCACCCTTACCATTTTTCGGTGCGTAGCATGGTATTCCGACATGTCCACCTTCTGTTTGGCTGTTCTAAATGACGCTCTTACACTTCTAGGACTCACATCTTCCCACTCTGTCTGTGTCTTCCCTGTGGCTGCACACGGATGTGAGTCGTGGACTATCTCTCAGTCCTTAAGAAAGAGAATAGGGGCTTTTGAGCTGAAATGCTATAGAAAGATTCACAGAATATCTTGGACAAAGAAGAGGAGAAATACTGACATCTTGAAAGATCTGAACATCAAGGTCTTATATGCCCCTTTCGATAGTGCCACTCCCTCGCCGTGGGAAAAATTTTCGTCTATATGTCCACAGAACAAATAGTTTCCAGTGAATTTAGAACACTTTCCCCCCCCCCCCCCGGGGGATTGCAGGCTCAAAAATAGCACACAGTGGCCCAAAGAGTCATTGTCTGGGTGGGGATGGAACAGGCGCAAATCTCAGAAACACTATTCAAATGTACGTAACAGCTTTACAGGCGCGCTGTATGCCTACTGAGTAACCTGCTATCCTATGTGTGTGCGTACGTGCATGCGCCTGCATGTGTGTGTATGTGTGTGTGTGTGTATATGTGTGTGTAACCGCATATGCTACGTCATGTAATTACAATCGACGTCACTACACATTGGACATTTCCATGCATGCTCAGTCCTCCGATGCAGCAGCCACACCAAGGTGCTTCTACTAATTGTTAGCACGGGACTTTGGTTACAATGTCTCCTATCTCGGCCTCGAAGATGGCATAAACGTGCTTCACCATGCTTTCCTCCTATGTCCCGCAATCGTGTTAGTGTCAGACATGTGTGCTTATCCACTAGCTCAGTCCGTACAGCGTTGATGCTATCTGCCCATGCTTCCTCTAACACTTCATTGCTTGTCAGTTGTTCCGCTTCTATGACCCTTTATGCCAGCGTGACCAGGTGTGTAGATCCAGGTGGGGGAGATTAAGTGCGATTTTCGAATGATTTTTAACCCATTTAGAGGGCATACTGTCTGTTGCTATTTTCTGAATCATGTTCACGTGGGTATGTGTAACTTCGTCTTATTTGCATTATCGGCTACTACGTCAACACGCCTAACGAAAGTAATAGCAAGTATCCATTATTTTGACACAAGCAATGGAATCAGTAGAAAGAAGATTATTATGCCCTGGAGAGAATGAGACACTTGGGTGTAACCAGAGGGTCTGGCCGGCTCCCTACACTTAGAGGAAACGCAAGACGGACATATAACCAGATTGTGACGGGTATCATCATTATTGGAACTCTTCGCTAGCTGTGAAGATGCTGTCGGAGCATGCATAGGAATACTCCGAGTGTTGTGATGTCAATTGTTCACTCAACTCATCATTATTTTCACATTTATTATTCATTTTATTGTACAGACTGCAGAGTGTGTGAAGATATGTGTGTTTCATCGCCCAACGGTTTGCGATGTGCATGCAAAGGTGGCTTTCATTTCAACCCAGCCAACTTAAGCGCTTGTCTACGTGAGTTTCTTTAATGTTTCATTATTGTAACTTGAGTTCTAACATACATGGGTATATGTCTACGTGAGTTTCTATAATGTTTCATTGTTGTAACTTGAGTTCTAACATACATGGGTATCTGTCTACGTGAGTTTCGATGTTTCATTATTGTAACTTGAGTTCTAACATACAGGAGTATCCGTCTACGTGAGTTTCTATAATGTTTCTTTATTGTAACTTTAGTTATAACATACATGGGTATCTGTGTTTGTGAATTTGTATAGCGTTTCATTGTTGTAACTTTAGTTCTAACATACATGAGTATCTGTCTACGTGAGTTCTATAATGTTTCTTTATTGTAACTTGAGTTCTAACATACATGGGTATATGTCTACGTGAGTTTCTATAATGTTTCATTATTGTAACTTGAGTTCTAACATACATGGGTATCTGTCTACCTGAGTTTCGATAATGTTTCATTATTGTAACTTGAGTTCTAACATACACGAGTATCCGTCTACGTAAGTTTCTATAATGTTTCTTTATTGTAACTTTAGTTATAACATACATGGGTATCTGTGTTTGTGAATTTGTATAGCGTTTCATTGTTGTAACTTTAGTTCTAACATACATGAGTATCTGTCTACGTGAGGTCTATAATGTTTCTTTATTGTAACTTGAGTTCTAACATACATGGGTATATGTCTACGTGAGTTTCTATAATGTTTCTTTATTGTAACTTGAGTTCTAACATACATGGGTATCTGTCTACCTGAGTCTCGATAATGTTTCATTATTGTAACTTGAGTTCTAACATACACGAGTATCCGTCTACGTAAGTTTCTATAATGTTTCTTTATTGTAACTTTAGTTATAACATACATGGGTATCTGTGTTTGTGAATTTGTACAGCGTTTCATTGTTGTAACTTTAGTTCTAACATACATGAGTATCTGTCTGCGTGAGTTCTATAATGTTTCTTTATTGTAACTTGAGTTCTAACATACATGGGTATATGTCTACGTGAGTTTCTATAATCTTTCATTATTGTAACTTGAGTTCTAACATACATGGGTATCTGTCTACCTGAGTTTCGATAATGTTTCCTTATTGTAACTTGAGTTCTAACATACATGGGTATCTGTCTACCTGAGTTTCTATAATGTTTCTTTATTGTAACTTTAGTTATAACATACATGGGTATCTGTGTTTGTCAATTTGTATAGCGTTTCATTGCTGTAACTTTAGTTCTAACATACATGGGTATCTGTCTACGTGAGTTCTATAATGTTTCTTTATTGTAACTTGAGTTCTAACATACATGGGTATATGTCTACGTGAGTTTCTATAATGTTTCTTTATTGTAACTTGAGTTCTAACATACTTGAGTAATGTCTATGTGAGTTCTATTGCGTTTCATTATTGTAACTTTAGTTTAAACACACTAAAGTAGTTGTCTTCATAGTCTGCATAACGTTTCATTGTTGTAACTTCTAACATATTTTAGTAGCTGTCTACGTTAGTGGGTATTACGTTTCATTGTTGTAACTTCAGTTATAACATACTTGAGTAGTTGTCTACGTTAGTGGGTATTACGTTTCATTGTTGTAACTTCAGTTATAACATACTTGAGTAGTTGTCTACGTTAGTGGGTATTACGTTTCATTGTTGTAACTTCAGTTATAACATACTTGAGTAGTTGTCTACGTTAGTGGGTATTACGTTTCATTGTTGTAACTTCAGTTATAACATACTTGAGTAGTTGTCTACGTTAGTGGGTATTACGTTTCATTGTTGTAACTTCAGTTATAACATACTTGAGTAGTTGTCTACGTTAGCGGGTATAACGTTTCATTGTTGTAACTTCAGTTATAACATACTTGAGTAGTTGTCTACGTTAGTGGGTATTACGTTTCATTGTTGTAACTTCAGTTATAACAAACTTGAGTAGTTGTCTACGTTAGTGGATATAACGTTTCATTGTTGTAACTTCAGTTATAACATACTTGAGTAGTTGTCTACGTGTGTATGTTTAACGGTTGATTGTTGTAACTTGAGTACTGTTGCAGTGTTGTAACTTACAATCTGCCGGGACGAAAAGAAAAGATAAATTTAAAAAAATGCGGAAATTAGAAATAGACTAGCGCCGAACCAGTCATGCAATTCATTAAAGAGCATCAAATGAGATGGTTTGGCTATCCGATAAGTGTAAAAGTAAAGTCAAGGACCCTTTTCCATGCCTTAAGGCAGGGCATATAGGGCTGGACCTATATTTTCATAGACCAATAGGCACAAGATGGGTGATGTTGGTCAGTATCACGCCGGCCGCCTTCACTTTCCCGGGACTGTACCCGCTACCCACTCAAAGCTGGGTCGACCTGGGAGCCAAGGTCATTTTTGAAAAAAGTCCGGCTCCACCAGGGAACGAACCCATGACCTTCCCATCCGCGGCGAGCGTCTAGCCTCTCGGCCACGGCGACTCCCTATCTCCCTATAACAGAAAAATGATGAGAATACTCCGTATAACAGCTGTCAAAGAAAGCCACGATGAAGAAATTTAATGTGTAATTTAATCACGTTACATACACTCAGACAAATGCTCAAGTGCGTTTCAATTGAACACAGTTCAATAGGAAGACTACGCAAAAGGAAGGACAAGGGTATAAAGAAAGCCTCTAAGAAATAAAGGTCGATTTGTACATGACAAAAAGGGCACAATAGAAGCTCCTTACATCTGCCCCAGACATGTCGATAGGGAACTTGAGAAGGAGGAGGAGAAGAAAAAGAGGAAGAAGAAGAAAAAAGAAAGAAAGAGAGAGAGAGAAAGAGAGAGAGAGAGAGAGAGAAAGAAAGAAAGAAAGAAAGAAAGAAAGAAAGAAAGAAAGAAAGAAAGAAAGAAAGAAAGAAAGAAAGAAAGAAAGAAAGAAAGAAAGAAAGAAAGAAAGAAAGAAAGAAAGAAAGAAAGAAAGAAAGAAAGAAAGAAAGAAAGAAAGAAAGAAAGAAAGAAAGAAAGAAAGAAAGAAAGAAAGAAAGAAATAAGAAGAAGGCATAGGAACAGGAGGAGGAGGAAAAGAAGAAGAAGACGAAGAAGAAGAAGAAGAAGAAGAAGAAGAAGAAGAAGAAGAAGAAGAAGAAGAAGAAGAAGAAGAAGAAGAAGAAGAAGAGAAGAAGAAGAAGAAGAAGAAAAAGAAGAAGAAAAAGAAGAAGAAGAAGAAGAAAAAGAAGAAGAAGAAGAAGAAGAAGAAGAAGAAGAAGAAGAAGAAGAAGAAGAAGAAGAAGAAGAAGAAGAAGAAGAAGAAGAAGAAGAAAGAAGAAGAAGAAGAAGAAGAAGAAGAAGAAGAAGAAGAAGAAGAAGAAGAAGAAGAAGAAGAAGAAGAAGAAGAAGAAGAAGAAGAAGAAGAAGAAGAAGAAGAAGAAGAAGAAGAAGAAGAAGAAGAAGAAGAAGAAGAAGAAGAAGAAGAAGAAGAAGGACATGAATAAGAAGAAAAAGAAGAAGAAGAAGAAGAAGAAGAAGAAGAAGAAGAAGAAGAAGAAGAAGAAGAAGAAGAAGAAGAAGAAGAAGAAGAAGAAGAAGAAGGAAGAGGAAAACGGAGGAGGAGGAGAAGGAGGAGGCGAAGAAGAAAATGAATAAGAAAAAGAAGAAGAAGAAGAAGAAGATGAAAAAGAAGAAGAAGAAGAAGAAGAAGAAGAAGAAGAAGAAGAAGAAGAAGAAGAAGAAGAAGAAGAAGAAGAAGAAGAAGAAGAAGAAAGAAGTTGAAAAGAAGAAGAAGAAGAAGAAGAAGAAGAAGAAGAAGTAGAAGAAGAAGAAGAAGAAGAAGAAGAAGAAGAAGAAGAAGAAGAAGAAGAAGAAGAAGAAGAAGAAGAAGAAGAAGAAGAAAAGGGAGGAGGCGGAAGAAGTTGAAACTTTAGTTAATTTATTTGTTAATTGATTATTGGTTGATTTATCAATATTGGTTGATTGACTGTTTTATGGCTGACTGATTGGTTGATAATTTTCTAGACTGCTTCTGTTGTTTGTTGATCTATTCATTTGTTGACTGATTGGTTAATTATCTGACGGATTGCTTTCACAGCTGGTTGAGTTGATTCAAAAACAATAATAACACTATAAATAAATCAACAGTAACATCAATGTTAACACCAGAAGGCACAGTAACAATGGCAACAACAACAACAACAACAAAAAGTCAAAAGTAGCAGCAAAATTAACACTCATCAAAATCACGTAGCAGGTCCTTTGCAGAACGTCGCTCTCATCACAGTCTGCCTGAAAGAAACTCAGTCTCTCGTCAGTTCTCCCGCCTCATGTGCTTTCACATTCAAGGAGTCACTTATATCTTGTGCCCATCTTCTTGTCGGTCGGCCCTGCCCCTCCTGGTACCATGCCTTCTGTTAAAAAAATTTTTCCAATCCGTCGTTGCGCTTGATATGACCAAAATATTTCAACTTCCGAGAAAGGATGCTCTTTATTACCCAATCTTCCTTGATGTTCATATCTTTCAAGATCTCAATATTTCTCCTCTTTTTTGTCCAAGATATTATGAGAATCTTTCTATAGCATTTCAGCTCAAAAGCCCCTATTCTCTTTTTTGAGGACTGGGATTCACATCCGTATGTAGCCACAGGGAAGATGCATGCTCTCAAAAATTCGAATTTTGATCTCCTTGCTGGTGCTTAACCATAGACTTTTTATGACTGTTCACAATTAACACCAGTGGGAATGATAACAATACTTCTTCTGCATGCACCCAAGATGTAATTACGTAGATCATTGCGATACTTGCACCTTTCGAATGACACATCCGACTTCTGCAGGCAACTGTTGACGGGGTTAGCCTTCCAGGTTAATAACAATACAGCTAAAATAACAATAACATCACAAATATACTCAACATTGCGTGTTATCATGTGCCTGTTTTTTTTCTTTTCTTTTAATGCCACAGCCATCAGTTCAGCGTGCAATCGAGGCTTCTACATTAACCCACAGACGAGGACTTGTGAAGGTAAATGACACTGTTGAGTCCTGTGGTACTGGAACCTTGAGGTTTGAGGTTTGAAGGTTTGAAGGTTTGAGGTTTGAAGGTTTGAGGTTTGAAGGTTTGAAGGTTTGAAGGTTTGAGGTTTGAGGTTTGAAGGTTTGAGGTTTGAACAACGGATCAACATCATGGCACATGGGCAGTAATCCATAAGTGCTCCGTTCTTCTTCTAACTCAAGTATGAGTCTGAAGAAGCTCAGGACAGTGCACAGACTCTATAACACTGGCGAGTATCCCGAAAACTTTAGGTAGATTTTTAACTCCAAGTTTTGCCCGGGCAGCACCGTTAGGCTAATCTTTTCGATTTCCAACTGCCAATGGGTTTTTTTTTTTTTTACTTGCGCAACAATGCACACGGGCGTCCGATCTCACTACCCATAGACCAGGGGAAACTACTAGATGTCCAAATCCACGTGAAAAAATCCCAGCCCTTACTGGGGATTGAACCCGGAACCTCTAGCACTCGAGGTGGTCACCACGCCTCGAGACCATGCAGCCCCCACTTGAGCCTTAAAGGAAAGAAGATAAACAAATTCAGACATCTTGAAAGAAAAAGCCGTTGTATGTTCGATTGTAGTCTCTCATAGAAAGAAGTAGGAATATAGAAGGAATACACCAGACAACATAAAAATCCGAAGCTATAGTTAACGTGCTTTTGATTTTTATGTTTTCCAGTGTGTTCCTTCTATACTTCTACTTCTTTCTACTACTGGCGATCAATACATTCTCTCTCTCTCTCTCTCTCTCTTGCTCTCTCTCTGTCTCGCTCTCTCTCTCTCTCTCTCTCTCTCTCTCTCTCTCTATATATATATATATATATATATATATATATATATATACATATACATATATATATATATATATATATATATATATATATATATATATATATATATATATATATATATAGGTGCCTTGCAGGCTGGCGTGGGTGATCTTGCCTCTCCACAATCTGCGATCTCCTGCAGCATGTATCAGTTCATGTGCTTACATACCTCCATGCCATGCAACAGGACTGTCAAGAATCTTCTCTCGTTGTCTTCCTCTATCCTTCCTTCCACAGATCTTTCCTTCTGTGAAATAAATAGCCAGCGCAATGTTGACCGCATCATCCTGGGAGGGGTCGACTAGTCTATACGAATTTAAGTCTGGCATCATATACCATGTAATGGAGCCAGCCTTTCTTGTCCCTTAAAAAATAAGACTAGTCGAAAGTTAAAGGTTAACAGTTAAAGGTTAACGTCGAGAAGATGGACTTCGTTGCACTGGGTTTTATCCTATAGGGCTCAGTCTCTCTCTACGCAGAACGGCTGACCGAATGCTGAGAGCGCTGCATAGAGCACGAACTGCCTAGCTTCGGCGACAATCCCCGGGATCTCCGTAAAAACTCTTGAACTGAACGGTGAAGCCAGGAAACGAACTCCTGACCTTCATAGCGCTAGGCAAAGGACTTGACCACTTCACCGCGGAGACTCCCTAGACTAGTTAAATCCTACCTCATAGGAGCACAGGTTACTTGATAACCACTGGGTGCCCCCCCCCCCCTTTTCCAAAGACGCAAGAATATATCGGCTCAAGCACCTTGACATTCCCTAATAATTCTTTAGTAGTAAGTTGACACCACCCTACCCCACCCCCCTTCTTAACCTTCCCCCCCCCCCCCCCCCCCCCAAAAAAAAAGATTTGCAATTCCTTGACAGTCGGAAATCGAAAAGAGTTGCTTAACGGCGCTGTCCGAGCAAAATTTGGAGTTCAAAATCTACCCAAAGCATTTCAGGATCCTCGCCGGTGCAACGGAATTTTGTGCACGGCGTTGAGATTATTCAGACTCAGGCTCGAGTTAGAAGTAGAATGGAGCACTTATGGGTTGCACCCGTGTGCCATGACGTTGATCCGTTCAATAAACAATAAACAGCAAACTTTCCGCATTATTTTAAACAGAGTATTAAGCATGTTTTTTTTTTCTGATTGATCATTCACATTGTCCGTAACTCTGCGTGTCTTTGGGTCACCCGTTTCTGTTGACTGTCTGTTGAGCTCTCTCCATCCACCTTTGGCGGTCAGGGGCGATAAACTTTATGGCTGCATGCCTAAGGTCTGTCCAGTCAGTTACGTTTAGTATCCAGGTCTTTCTTGGTCTTCCTCTTCTCTTCTTGCCCCTTCATTGAGCCCTGTTGTATTGTTTTTCAGAGGCAGTTAGATCTTGTTGCATGTCCTTACGATTGCATTTTCTGTCTTTTTACTGTAGGTTTATAGTTGTCGTTATGCTGGGTAATTATACGGCAAACTTGGTCATTTGTGATGTTTTCTGTGTATGATGTGCCAAGAATTTTTCTTTCTTTCTTTCTTTCTTTCTTTCTTTCTTTCTTTCTTTCTTTCTTTCTTTCTTTCTTTCTTTCTTTCTTTCTTTCTTTCTTTCTTTCTTTCTTTCTTTCTTTCTTTCTTTCTTCTTTCTTTCTTTCTTTCTTTCTTTCTTTCTTTCTTTCTTTCTTTCTTTCTTTCTTTCTTTCTTTCTTTCTTTCTTTCTTTCCTTTTTTTCCTTTATTTCCTTTCTTTCTTTCCTTTCTTTCTTTCCCTTCTTTCTTTCCCTTCTTTCTTTCCCTTCTTTCTTTCTTTCTTTCTTTCTTTCTTTCTTTCTTTCTTTCTTTCTTTCTTTCTTTCTGTCTGTCTGTCTGTCTGTCTGTCTGTCTGTCTGTCTGTCTGTCTGTCTGTCTGTCTGTCTGTCTGTCTGTCTGTCTGTCTGTCTGTCTGTCTGTCTGTCTGTCTGTCTGTCTTTCTTTCTTTCTTTCTTTCTTTCTTTCTTTCTTTCTTTCTTTCTTTCTTTCTTTCTGTCTTTCTTTCTGTCTTCCTTCCTTCCTTCCTTCCTTCCTTCCTTCCTTCCTTCCTTTCTTTCTTTCTTTCTTTCTTTCTTTTTTCTTTCTTTCTTTCTTTCTTTTCTTTCTTTCTTTCTTTCTTTTCTTTCTTTCTTTTCTTTCTTTCTTTCTTTCTTTCTTTCTTTCTTTCTTTCTTTCTTTCTTTCTTTCTTTCTTTCTTTCTTTCTTTCTTTCTTTCTTTCTTTCTTTCTTCAATTCTAATTCTATTTCTCCAGGTATTATTTTACCACTCTTCCACTCCAATTTACCACATTCCCCCTCCCCCTTTTCTCTTCAGTAATATTAAACTTGTATCCCATCATGCTCCCGGATTCCTCACCCCGCCACCGTTCATGCCAGATAAGCGTCTTTAGAAACATATTACGACTGTTTCAGATTTAAACGAATGCCTAGTCAGACCTTGTGAGCAGCAGTGCAACAACAGAGCGGGCGATTTCGAGTGCACTTGTAGACCTGGATTCATTGTCAACCCACAAGACCGCTACAGGTGTATTGGTAAGCGCTGTTTAAACGTTAGTGACAAGCAGGGTTGCCATATTGGCATTTTTTATGCCAGATTCCATAAATTTTAGCATATTGGAAATTGAACAGGCAAAAGATAAGGAACTGGCATATTTTGGCATATTTGGGTATTTCCTGGCAATGTAAACATACAGTTAACATCTTCATGTTAGTTTGACTTTGTTGTGATGTCCTGGTACGGACTAATGGAGATTCGCGCCATTTCTTATTGTATTTGTTGTCTTCCTAAACAGATCGTGACTTTGATAAACCAAGGCCCTCTGTAATTTATGTTAATCTTCTAGAATAAATGCGGGATATAAAACCAAAACCCAACAATGATACCAAGTGATTCAGACGTTCAGAAACTACTTGAGGACAGAAAATATAGAGGATATAGACCTATTTCTATCTGTGATAGATGTTATTACTTTTTACCAATATCCACGTCACAAAAAAAAAAAAAAAAAAAAATGGAAAGCATCTTATGACATTGCAAGTATAATAGTAACTGGAAGAAAAATACCCACGGATCAAAAGATCTTCAGACGAATCAGAGGCAGCATATTGTAAACTGTGTCAGTGCACCAAGAATTAGTGCATATCAAATCACGAAAAATCCGAAAAACACAGGATGAAAACTCCGTCAAAAAGCCAGTCACAGCTTATTACAACAATAACTCCTAGGCAAAGTAATGATAAATTTAAAGGCAGCAGAGTTGCAGCTTGCTGTAGGCATGACCTGCAACTGTGCAATAAGCACAATTGATCATCTAAGTGAAATCATAAGAGCGCATGGTCGGGGGGAGTACATTGGGGCACATATAGTTGCATATAACTAAATGTTCATGCCTAATTAGAAAAAAAAAAAAAAAAATATTATATCGTCTGCACTTAAGGATGACCTTAATGATGATTTTCGGAACAAGAAATATGCCATCATTATAGATGAGTTGCAAAGACGCAATCCCATCTGAGAAAATGTTTAAAGATTTTACTTTCAAGAAGGTTTATGCTGTATCTTCCACTGGTTCCAGTGAGGATGACAGTGAACAATTCAATCTAGAGCTTTTGATATGAAGTGAGTTAATGTTACACTTTATTTGGCATTTTCTGGCCTATTTTGGTAATGGTTTGGCATAAAATTAGTTTTTATTTTATTTGGCAACCCCGGTGACAAGTCTTATTCCGTCCCCTCTCAGGACACAATTTTCGTTGTCTTGAAGCCCCACCCTGGCTGTTGCCAGAGGCCCTAATATAACCCAGCCTATGGGTTAAACAGGGTTTCTGGGACCAGTTCCCGGGTGATCCTCATCCGAATGGTGGCTCTTTTTGTCCCCGGGTGTTTGTCGCTCGGTGTAATGTCCTGTTGGGGATGAACATTAGTTTGAAAACGCTGGTTGTTTATCTGTTTAGTTAAGCAAATATGTCATCAATTTTGCAGAATGAAGAGCTAACAGCTGATGCCAAAAGAGCATTATTCAATACAATAATTTTACCAACATTGTGTTGCTAGTACCAAATGTGAACGTTAACAATAGGACCCACACACACACGCACACACACAAAATGAACACAAAAGACACGTCTACGTGAAATCCTAAATGTACTAGAAGAGACACGATAAAAAATGACGATATCGAGAAAGAAGTTGAGACGGAAGTCATCATCATCATGTGCATTGCCGACTGGCGTGGGCGATCATGCCTCTCCATAATCTGCGATCTCCTGCAGCATGTACTAGTTCGTGTGCCGACACACCTCCATGCCATGCAACAAGACTGGCAAGCATCTTCTCTCGTTGTCTTACTCTATCTCTCCTTCCACAGATCTTTCCAGTGGTCACAACATGTTCTATTTTCCCTCTTCTCATAACATGGCCGAAAAATGATGACTGTCTACTTCTGATTTCTGTGATAAGTTGTCTTCGGGCTCCCGCCTTTTTCAAAACCTCTTGGTTGCTCTTTTTGGCTGTCCACGGTATTCTAAGCATTCCTCTGTAAAACCACATCTCTGAGGCCTCTAAAAATTGTGTGTCCTGCCTACCGATTGTCCAGGATTCACAGCCATATGTTAAAACTATATGTATGTTGCAAGCAAGAATTCGTTTTCTAACTCTCAATAACAAGTATATATTGCACAAGATGTTTTTCATTTTATAAAATGCAGTTTTTGCCTGTCCTATTCTATTTCTTATCTCAGTTATGAGACGGAAGTAGTAGTATTAAAATATATCAAGAGACAAAGGATAATGTGGTTTGGAGATTTGCAAGGCGAACACGACTAGAGAATATTAATAATAATGATAATAATAATAACAATAATAGGAGGGGGAAGAAGAAAGTTGTCCGAAAGTACACATTTCAGCTGCCCTGTGGCTACCCTGAATTGAGGAACGAGGTCAGCTTTTTCTATCTATTCTGTTACGCCTCTGCCCCTTTTCTTTGAAGTAAAAGGCCCCTTTTAACACCACTTGAACATCCGACATACTCTTATAGACCAATCTGCACTCGATGAATATAAATAAACAAAGGGGGAACCTTTGAGGCCTTTAAATATTATGAATTAGTCAAGTAACAGAAAGTGTATTGATCGGCACTCATAGAAAGAAGTAGATAGATAGAAGAACACACAAGACAACATAAAAATAGAAAGCTATTGTTACCGTACGATAGATATGGCCAATAAGACACCTTTTTTGGGAGGTGCCTAGTTGACCATGTTCTTAGTGCACTTGTATTCATGGCGAGGCGCAGACGCCGTCTGGTGTGTTCTTCAATACACTTTCTGTTACTTGATTAACTCGATGAATAGTGAGTTCGGCATCACCGCCAGCAGTCTTAAGAACGTTTACAGTTTCGGGACTCCATTGTGGGGAAAACACGAATAGGCCCACTGGCTCCTCAAGCATGCCGTAAGAGTCGACTATCTGGGGACTTCATTCAAAGTCGGCGTGCATCTGCCTCAGAGGCAAGGAACGAACGCTATCTAAAAACAAATAAATCTGTAAAACGGATGTGCGCGCAGCTCTCGGGTTCTGGAACAAACAATAAAGTCCAAAGATGGACGAACAACTAGAACTTTCCGCCGGAGTTTATAGCTGGAGAAGAAGAAGAAGAAGAAATAGCAATTTTAGGTAACGTCAAACGGTAGCCAAGGTCAGCAATTTGAAAATGTTTGCCTCGTCGCTGGTTCCAACCTAGTGCCTTTGGACTGGCATTAAAGCGATTCTGAGCCACCTCGGCTTCCTGAGGTATGTGATGAAAATCGCGCCAAACAGGAATTAATGAAAGTTTTGAAAAGAAGCACCAACAACTGGCAGAGAGGTTACACGTGAACTGAACTGACTGACTTGGAGACTGACTGAGTGACTGACTGAGTTAGTGACTGAACTGATTTCGTGACTGACTGATTGTTTGAGTGAGTGACTGTCAAAGAAATAATGCTGGCCTGTTGGCACCCTCTCTTATATCAGTGCAGGTTTTTTTGCAACTTGTGGATGCAACACCCCCCTCCCCCCATTCTCTTAAAAAAAAAAAAAACAGGCGACGAAACCCAGGCGCTAGCACCTTGAATTGCCCTAAACATGTTTGTGGTAGGCTGACCCCACCCGCCTCCCCATCCCCCAAAAGAATTTGGAATTAGGCCAAGAGTATCCGACCGTGTCACTGATTGACTGAATGACTGACTGCATGATCGATTGACTGGCTGAATGACTTGATAACTGAGTGACTGACTGACATAGTGACTGACTGAGTGACTGATCGAGTGACTAACTGGCGAGTGAGTGATTGACTGGCTGAGTGAGTTACTAACTGACTGACTGAGTCCTTTGCATTTTCCTTTGTCTCTGTCTCTCAGATTTGCTCTACTTTAGCTGTCTCTGCCACTCTCTCTCCCTCTCTCTCTCTCTCTCTCTCTCTCTCTCTCTCTCTGTCTCTCTCTCTTTCTCTCTCTCTCTCTGTTCTTTCATTGCGACTCTCTACATCTTTATGTCTCTTACACTGCTCATTGAACCATTTTTGTGTGGCTCTTACCCAACAAGCTTTGATTTATTTCTGTATCTTGTCATACACTTCTTGGTTATTTGTTGTTGTTGTTTGTTTTGTTTTTGTTAACGCTTGTCCATCAACTTCAAGAGTTCTTCGGTCATTCATTTCTTTTTAGCTTTTTGTTTCATTTTCTGTAACAGCTCTTTGCTTGTTCGCTGAACAGAGTATTTCCGCATTTCTCATTGTTCATTTAAACTTTGAATCTTAATTATTACATTTGATCTGTTTTTCACAATCACACTGTATTGTTCTTTAATTTCTTTTTCCACTTGTAGGATATCTTTATTAAGTTTCATATTTTTAATCCTTTACTTTCCTCTCTTTAATGTGACTTTTACTTCTCCATAAAGTGGGATGTGACAACAATAACGTTGCAAAAACACTCAACACAAAAGTGTTACTGTTTTCTTTTTTTTGTTTTGGTTGTTGTTCTCGACAGCGTCCACTTCAGCGGCCACTTCAGTGATCACTTCAGCAAACACTGCCGACAGAATTGCAGTGTGCCAGATAGGATTCTACAGAAACCCAAGGACTGGACTTTGCGAAGGTAAATTACACTTTTGCTTCCTGTGGTACTGGGGCCTTGAGGGAAAAGGGGGAAACATCGTGGAAGAAATCAGGCTGGCTTGTGGACACTCACCATATAGGGAAGCAGGTTTTTTTTTTTTACACAACTTATGGGTACAAACCCCCCCCCCCCCCCGCCCACACACACACATACACACTGTCTGTCGGTCGGTCGGTCTGTCTGTCTGTCTGTCTATCTGTCTGTACGTTTTTATATCTATGCGTACGTATGTGTATGTGTGTATGTGGAATGTGTGTGTATATATATGCATGCGGGGTTTTATGGGGGGGGGGGGGGGGCGGTGTATCTATGTGATTTATGAATTTCAGTCGAAAAGAAGTTGTTTATGTGTTTTAAATTCTGTATTATGTTTCTTCTTCTTCCGTCCTTCCTTCCTTCTTCTTCTTTTTCTTCTTCTTCTTCTTCTTCTTCTTCTTCTTCTTCTTCTTCTTCTTCTTCTTCTTCTTCTTCTTCTTCTTCTTCTTCTTCTTCTTCTTCTTCTTCTTTCTTCTTCTTCTTCTCTTCTTCTCTTCTTCTTCTTCTTTCTTCTTCTTCTTCTTCTTCTTTTCTTCTTCTTCTTCTTCTTCTTCTCTTCTTCTTCTTCTTCTTTCTTCTTCTTCTTCTTTCTTCTTCTTCTTCTTCTTCTTCTTCTTCTTCTCTTCTTCTTCTTCTTCTTCTTCTCGTTCTTCCTCCTCCTCTCCTCCGTATTCTTATTCTCCTCTCTTCTTCGTATGCTCCTAATGCTATAACTGAAGCTAATAATAGTCCCTCTCAACCTCATCCCCTCTCCCCTACTACTTTCAGTATCATTAAACATGTATTCCTTCTAACCCTGTTCCGTAACACGTTACCCTACAATTCACACATTTTAGATAAACATGCTCAGAAACATAACATTTCAGATACTGAGGAATGCAAATGCAGGCCTTGCGAAAAGGAGTGCATAACTCAACAACCCTCCATCCCTCAACCATGTTATCTACTCAGTGATGCGCCCGCCTGCTTTACAATCAAACATATCTCAAGAACCCTATCTCTCCCTCAACACCCGAAGCGGAAAGATAAAAATGAAAATAACAAAACTGAAGAATTTTCGTTATTTTAAAGCCCTATCCTGGTTGTTGCCGGGGGCCATAATATAACCTAACGGTTGAAGGGGTTTTCTGGGACCTCTCCACGGGTGATCTTCATTCGAATGGTGGCACTTTGTGTCACCGGGTGTTTATCGCTCAGTGTCCTAGTGGGATAAAAAGTCAGTCAGCCTTATTCATGGGAGACCATACAGTTGCGAAAAGAAATTCGCGTTTGTTTCTCTCAGTTACTGCCCTTGTGTGTGGAACTTGTTATTTGGATCACAATTTTCAATTTTAATGTGCTTATAAACGTACCGTGATGAACATTAAAATGCCTGTCTGATATCTAAAGCTGATATTAGTCACACCGTTGTCTTGGTAATTCTAGCCTAAACTCTCTCTGTCACTGTCTCTCGGTCTGTCTTGATCGCTGGCTCCCTCGCTAGCTGTCTCACTCATTTGCTCTACATTTGATATTTTCTGTCATACTGTCTGACTGTCTGTTTGACTCTCTTTTTATGTAACACGCTCTATATCCACACGGCTCTTTATATATATATATATAAACGGGATTTGTTTCTACAAAACAAGGCCGTGGCGCTCACCGCTACGTGTCTAGTATAGCAGCATTGATAAAAATGATGCATCTAAGCATACAAAGAGAGGATAAACGGACAGTGAACGATACACCGACACGTGGCAAATTGGGACAACGTAGGATATATGGTCAGAGAGAAAGAGAGAACGAGATAAAGAGAGGGAGAGAGACATAACTGTTGATAAAGATAGACAGAGAGAGGTAAAAGCGCGATAGAGACAGAAAGATACGTAAGAGATATAGGCACACACAGAAATAGAAGCCTATAGTGAAAGAGACAGAAAGGGGAGAGGGTAAGACAGGGGAGGGATACTACAAAGAGAGTTAGAGATACATGGTTTCTCTGTGTGTTTCTCTTACTGTTTCTCTTTCTCTCCTTTCTCCTTCTTTGATTTTTATTCTCTCTCCCTCCCTCCCCCTCTGTCTCTGTCTGTCTGTCTGTCTCTCTCTCTCTCTCTCTCTCTCTCTCTCTGCCTCTTTCTCTGTTCGCCTCTTCCTGTCACTATCGGTTTTCTTTATGTGAGTATCCGTGTCTGTTCTCTCTCTCTCGCGCTCTCTCTTTCGCTCCTTCTGCTTTTTACATTATATCTCAATCTATCACATCCCCCCCCCCACCTCTTTATATTTGCCGGAAGAAGCACTTTGTTAGTCTAAAAATTCTGCGGTGAGTTACGTACTAAAATGAGGAACTGTGCTACTTATGTAGTTCAGCCCAAGGAGGCTTAACGTTCTTGGAAATTTCCTTATACATGGTAAATTCTGAACTATACACTTGACATGCCAAGCAATAAATTGTGCAATGGATTGTTCGCGTCCTTATCACTGGAATTATGATGAGTGTTATCTTCTTCTTCTTCTTCTTCTTTTTCTTCTTCTTCTTCTTCTTCTTCTTCTTCTTCTTCTTCTTCTTCTTCTTCTTCTTCTTCTTCTTCTTCTTCTTCTTCTTCTTCTTCTTCTTCTTCTTCTTCTTCTTCTTCTTCTTCTTCTTCTTCTTTCTTCTTCTTCTTCTTCTTCTTCTTCTTCTTCTTCTTTCTTCTTCTTCTTCTTCTTCTTCTTCTTATTTCTTCTTCTTCTTCTTCTTCTTCTTCTTCTTCTTCTTCTTCTTCTTCTTCTTCTTCTTCTTCTTCTTCTTCTTCTTCTTCTTCTTCTTCTTCTTCTTCTTCTTCTTCTTCTTCTTCTTCTTCTTCTTCTTCTTTCTTCTTCTTCTTCTTCTTCTTCGTCTTCTTCTTCTTCTTCTTCTTTTTTTTCTTCTTCTTCTTCTTCTTCTTCTTCTTCTTCTTCTTCTTCTTCTTCTTCTTCTTCTTCTTCTTCTTCTTCTTCTTCTTCTTCTTCTTCTTCTTCTTCTTCTTCTTCTTCTTCTTCTTCTTCTTCTTCTTCTTCTTCTTCTTCTTCTTCTTTTTCTTCTTCGTGTTCACCAGCTGTAATTTCTGACGGAAAGTTCTGGTATGTCATCCACTTCTGGACTGCAGTCCTGTCCAGAACTTGAGTGTTGCGTGTGTATCTGTTTGACAGATCTGACAAATTTGTATGCAGACTGTTGGTTCCTTGCCTCTCAGGCAGATACACTCTGACTTTGAAGAAAGCTTCTGAATTTTCAGTTGACTCTTACGACATGCTTTCGGGTAAGCAGTGGGTCTATTCTTGTTTTCCCATATAACAGGGCTCCGGAACCCACACGGGGAATGAGTGTTGTGATAGTTATAAAGCTGATTATAGGGATGACAATTATAGGGATGACGATTATAGGGAGGAGGATTATAAGGATGACGATTATAGGGATGACGATTATAGGGAGGACGATTATAGGGATGTCGTTTAAAGGGAGGAGGATTATAGGGATGACGATTATGGGGATGACGATCATAGGGAGGACGATTATAGGGATGACGATTATAGGGATGACGATTATAGTGATGTCGTTTATAGGGATGACGATTATAATGAGGCCTATTATATCTCCCATTTCAGCTGAGCCAAGAGGATGTCCTCCAGGATACGTAGTTAACCCAAGAAACACCAGCAGTTGTACAGGTACATGTCGTTTTCTTGTTTTCTTCTTCTGCCCTAATCTTCCTAGTTAGTTAGTTAGTTAGTTACTTGGTTAGTTTGTTAGTTTGGTACTTGGTTAGTTTGCTCACAGTGTTGCACCAAGCACTAAACTCGGTAGCTTAGGTAGCGAAGCCGTAGAATTCTGTCTTCCGTCCTTATGTGGAAAGTGCTGTAGCAAAGCGCTGTCGGAAGCAAAAATAACTTCGAGGCTAAACATTCTGCCATGCATAGTCCTTCACATTTGGTTGGAACTCATGTAGTTACGTAGTGTTATAGATATTCATAACAAGACAACCAAGTTTCTGTTTATTTTCACAACAAAAGAAAACACACAGATGCACGCGTGCGCGCACGCGCACACACGCACACACAGATACACAAACTAGGTACATAATAAATGTTATATCTGGAGGCAGGAGCCAGTAGAGATGTACAAATCAAGAATTATAATAGAAATAGTCGGCATGGAACCAATACTGCATTCCCGGATCATCCCGAAGAATGAAAAGACATCAGCCAACCGAGCCTCCAGCTAATCAAACACGTTTTCTCTTTACTCCGACAGACATCGACGAATGCCAGACACCAGGACTGTGCGAAGACAAATGTGTCAACCTAAATGGCGGCTACCGGTGTTCCTGCTTCAGCGGATCTGAAGTCAGCTCCGCAGACTGGACAAGTTGCGAGAGTATGTACTTTTGTGTGTGTCAGTCACTGATGATAGGTGGCCGAGCCAGGGCTTGCTTGGTTGCTTTCTTATTCTGTGATGATGTGAAGTCTTAGGCTATCGTTGATTTCGTCATTCCAATTTCTGCCACGTCTCCCTCTGCGTCTGGGGTTTCTGTTTCCATGTTGTACTCTGTCGCTGTCAGTATCTTTGGAATCATTCTCATCAGGTGTCCAAACCATCTGACTTTGCTCTTCAGTGCTTGTCTGTGGTAGGTATGATTTAGACAAAATAAAAAAAAAATAAAAAACACTGGATTTTCTCTTTACTTAAAGATTCACATTATCAGCTTAATTAAAACGAAAAGTTTACAGTCAAGAGTCCTGACGGAGCGAGACCTGTTTTTAAACAAGACCCTGGCTTCACTGTCGATCCAGCCTTAAATGGGTACTAGGTAAAATCCTAGAAAGTAAAGATCATGAATCCTTCCATGTGCGATTTATGGAGGTGAGTCAAAGACTCTTACTCAATCTGAAGAAAATAATCAAAGCTTTTGAATTAAATTGCTACATAATTTTTTTTTTCTAATACCGTGAACAGCGAAATACAAGATTGCAACACTTAACACCGCTAGCCTGGGAAATAAAACAGAAGAGATTATTGAAATGATGGAAAAAAGGAAAAGCAGGTGAAAGCAGCAGCAGATGGCTTCACAGAATATTCAATGCATCATGGGTACAACAAACGGCCCCTATTGATTGGCAACATGCAATAGTTTTACCATTGTGGAAGAACAAAGGAAGCAAACGAGAATGCGGTCAATATCGAGGCATCTCTTTTTTAAGCCATGTTGGCAAAATGTATGCCAAGATAATAGAAACAAGACTGAGACCAGTGATAGAACCACAGCTGGCAGAAGAACAGATGGGATTTAGGAGAAATAGAAGCTGCACAGATGCAATCTTCACACTTAAACAGTTAATAGAAAAGAACATTGAATACAATAAGAACTTATTTGTGGCATTCGTAGACCAGGAGAAGGCATTTGACAGAGTCGACAGACAATTATTATGGAAAATAATGGCAAGATATGGAGTAAGCGAACACCTCATCGAAGTGTGCAAAAGGTTATACAGGGATTGTAGAAGTGTAGTTAGAATAAATCAGGGAACATCTCATCCTTTCACAGTGACATCTGGAGTAAGACAGGGGTGTGTCCTTTTCACCACTGCTGTTTATCACCTACATCGACAGTATATGCAAGAATGCCAAGCCCATGAATGAAGATCAACGAATTACTCTTTGCAGATGACCAGGCCTTGAGAGCAGATACAGCCATGAAATTGCAACAACATCTAACATCCATGAATGAAGAATGTAAAACAAATAATATGAAAATCAACACTGAAAAGACAGAAGTAATGTCAATAGGAAAAAAGAAGACAGATCTAAACATAACAATAGAATACAAAGGCATTAAACAGGCATCTGAGTTTAAATATCTGGGAACTACATTTACCGAAGATGGGAAATTGGATAAAGAAATTGACATTAGATGCAGTAAAGCAAACCAAGTATTGGGACAGCTAGCCCCCCTCTTACAGCATAAGACAATCCCAGTCAGCACAAAGAGACATCTTATTCAAAGCATATTTATTCCAACTCTGTGCTACCAGTGCCAGACATGGTCACTCACAACAAACCATAAAAGAAAATTAGTAACCACGGAAATGAGATGTATGAGAAGGGCTGTAGGAGTGACCATAAGAGATAAGATCAGAAATGAGATCATAAGAGAACAAGTCGGCACAGAACAAATTCTGGATTACATACAAAGACAGCAAGTGAAATGGTTTGCCCACTTAGAGAGAATGCCTTGTGACACCATACCATACAAAGCATACATGGGAAGAGAAGAAGGACGTAGAGCACGGGGTAGACCAAGAACAAGATGGAAGGATAACATCAGAGAAACTCTACAACAGCACGATGTGCCTATGGTCGAGGCAGCCAGAAGAGCTAGAAACAGAACCTTATATCTCCCTCGACACCCACAGCGGTAAAAGAGGATGTGAAGAAGATGAAGAAGAAGAAGAATACCGTGAACCAAGTGAGTCGCCGTGGCGAAGCGACTAGACGCTCGCCGCGGATCGGAAGGTCGTGAGTTCGCTCGCTGGCGGAGCCGGACTTTTTTCAGAAATGACCTTGGCTCCTTAAGTAGGTACCGGGTGCAGTCCCAGGAAGCGAAGGCGGCCGGCGTGATGCTGACCACATCACCCATCTTGTGCCGATTGGTCTATAAAATATAGGTCTAGCCCTATATGCCCTAGCCATGTTAAACGTCATAGTGTCTCGGAGACAGCGATGTTGGAGGGTACAGTGTCTCGGAGACAGCGATGTTGGAGGGTACAGTGTCTCGGAGACAGCGATATTGGAGGGTACAGTGTCTCAGAGACAGCGATGTTGGAGGGTACAGTGTCTCGGAGACAGCGATGTTGGAGGGTACAGTGTCTCGCAGACAGCGATGTTGGAGGGTACAGTGTCTCGGAGACAGCGATGTTGGAGGGTACAGTGTCCCAGAGATAGCGATGTTGGAGGGTACAGTGTCCCAGAGATAGCGATGTTGGAGGGTACAGTCTCCAAGAGATAGCGATTTTGGAGGGTACAGTTTCTTGGAGACAGCGATGTTGGAGGGTACAGTGTCCCAGAGATAGCGATGTTGGAGGGTACAGTGTCTCGGAGACAGCGATGTTGGAGGGTACAGTGTCTCGGAGACAGCGATGTTGGAGGGTACAGTGTCTCGGAGACAGCGATGTTGGAGGGTACAGTGTCTCGAAAGCTCGATAATTTGAGCCATGTTAAACGTCATAGTGTCTCTGAGACAGCAATGTTGGAGGCTGCAGTGTCTCGAAAGCTCGATAATTTGAGCCATGTTAAACGTCCTAGTGTCTCTGAGACAGCAATGTTTGAGGGTACAGTGTCTCGAAAGCTCGATAATTTGAGCCATGTTAAACGTCATAGTGTCTCGGAGACAGCGATGTTGGAGGGTACAGTGTCTCGGAGACAGCGATGTTGAAGGGTACAGTATCTCGGAGACAGCGATGTTGGAGGGTACAGTGTCTCGGAGACAGCGATGTTGGAGGGTACAGTGTCTCGGAGACAGCGATGTTGGAGGGTACAGTGTCTCGGAGACAGCGATGTTGGAGGGTACAGTGTCTCGAAGTGAGGCAACATCAGACCTTGGCGCAGGTAGATACAAGACACTGAAGATGCAGTGGCTAAGAACGCATATATGGCTTGATAAATGGCTAGAGAAAGAGAGACTAACGCTTTCAAGTGAAGATAGCGACGTTCTGTAAAGGACCTGCTGACTGATGATAATGATGATGATCAGTGTTCTCCAGTTGTGCCACTGCTAAACGTTTGACTGCCTGAGAGTCTTGTATTCGAGTTTGCACAGGGCTAATTTTTTTTAGAACTGATTTCGGCTTCCAAGTAAAATCCCCACCATAGTGTGCCATGGCGACTGGCGTAGGCGATCATGCCTCTCCACAATCTGAAAGCTTTAACAGCCTGCATCAGCTCATGTGCAGACACTCTCCACCTCCCCCACCCCCTTTTTTAACGCCATGACGAAAAGCTCTCCAGAATTGTCTTGCTCTGTCTTCTTCTGTTTCTTTTTTGTCCACCCCCTCCCCCTCTCTTTTATCCCAAATCTTTTCAGTGGTTACATGTTCCAGTTTTCTTGTTATCCTATCATGGACAAAAAGTGATAGCAGCCTCTTTATGATGTTTTGCTCTTTTTGGTCGTGAAACAAATCCTACAGATGATTCTGAAACACCATGTCTCTGAGACATCAAGGAATCCTACAGATGATTCTGTAACACCATGTCTCTGAAACCTCAATGAATCCTACAGATGATTCTGTAACACCATGTCTCTGAGACATCAAGGAATCCTTCAGATGTTTCTGTAACACCACCTCTCTGAGACATCAAGGAATCCTACAGATGATTCTGTAACACCATGTCTCTGAAACCTCAATGAATCCTACAGATGATTCTGTAACACCACGTCTCTGAGACATCAAGGAATCCTACAGATGATTCTTTAACACCACGTCTCTGAAACCTTAATGAATCCTACAAAGGATTCTTTAACACCACGTCTCTGAGACATCAAGGAATCCTTTTGTAACACCATGTCTCTGAGACATCAAGGAATCCTACATATAATTCTGTAACACAATGTCCCTGAGACATCAAGGAACCATACAGTTGATTCTTTAACTCTATGTCTCTGAGACATCAAGGAATCCTACAGATTATTCTGTAACACCACGTCTCTGAGACATCAAGGAATCCTACAGATTATTCTGTAACACCACGTCTCTGAGACATCAAGGAATCCTACAGATTATTATGTAACACCTGTCTCTGAGACATCAAGGAATCCTACATAAAATTTTGTAACACCACGTCTCTGAGACATCAAGGAATCCTACAGATGATTCTGTAACACCATGTCTCTGAAACCTCATTGAATCCTACAGATGATTCTGTAACACCACGTCTCTGAGACATCAAGGAATCCTACAGATGATTCTGCAACACCATGTCTCGGAGACATCAAGGAATCCTACAGATGATTCTGTAACACCATGTCTCTGAAACCTCAATGAATCCTACAGAGGATTCTGTAACACCATGTCTCTGAGACATCAAGGAATCCTACATATAATTTTGTAACACCATGTCTCTGAGACATCAAGGAACCATACAGTTGATTCTTTAACACCACGTCTCTGAGACATCAAGGAATCCTACAGATGATTCTGTAACACCATGTCTTTGAGACATCAAGGAATCCTACAGATTATTCTGTAACACCACGTCTCTGAGACATCAAGGAATCCTACAGATGATTCTGTAACACCACGTCTCTGAGACATCAAGGCATCCTACAGATGATTCTGTAACACCATGTCTCTGAGACATCAATGAATCTTACAGATGATTCTGTAACACCACGTCTCTGAGACATCAAAGAATCCTACAGATGATTCTGTAACACCATGTCTCTGAGACATCAAGGAATCCTACAGATGATTCTGCAACACCATGTCTCTGAGACATCAAGGAATCCTACATATAATTCTGTAACACCATGTCTCGGAGACATCAAGGAATCCTACAGATGATTCTGTAACACCACGTCTCTGAGACATCAAGGAATCCTACAGATGATTCTGTAACACCATGTCTCTGAGACATCAAGGAATCCTACAGATTATTCTGTAACACCATGTCTCTGAGACATCAAGGAATCCTACATATAATTCTGTAACACCATGTCTCTGAGACATCAAGGAATCCTACAGATGATTCTGTAACACCACGTCTCTGAGACATCAAGGAATCCTACAGATGATTCTGTAACGCCATGTCTTTGAGACATTAAGGAATCCTACAGATTATTCTGTAACACCACGTCTCTGAGACATCAAGGAATCCTACAGATGATTCTGTAACACCATGTCTCTGAGACATCAATGAATCCTACAGATGATTCTGTAACACCACGTCTCTGAGACATCAAAGAATCCTACAGATGATTCTGTAACACCATGTCTCTGAGACATCAATGAATCCTACAGATGATTCTGTAACACCATGTCTTTGAGACATCAAGGAATCCTACAGATTATTCTGTAACACCACGTCTCTGAGACATCAAGGAATCCTACAGATGATTCTGTAACACCATGTCTCTGAGACATCAATGAATCCTACAGATGATTCTGTAACACCATGTCACTGAGACATCAATGAATCCTACATATGATTCTGTAACACCATGTCTCTGAGACATCAATGAATCCTACAGATGATTCTGTAACACCATGTCTCTGAGACATCAAGGAATCCTACAGATGATTCTGTAACACCATGTCTCTGAGACATCAAGGAATCCTACAGATGATTCTGTAACACCACGTCTCTGAGACATCAAGGAATCCTACAGATGATTCTGTAACACCACGTCTCTGAGACATCAAGGAATCCTACAGATGATTCTGTAACACCATGTCTTTGAGACATCAAGGAATCCTACAGATGATTTTGCAACACCATGTCTCTGAGACATCAAGGAATCCTACATATAATTCTGTAACACCACGTCTCTGAGACATCAATGAATCCTACAGATGATTCTGTAACACCATGTCTCTGAAACATCAAGGAATCCTACAGATGATTCTGTAACACCACGTCTCTGAGACATCAAGGAATCCTACAGATGATTCTGTAACACCACGTCTCTGAGACATCAAGGAATCCTACAGATGATTCTGTAACACCACGTCTCTGAGACATCAAGGAATCCTACAGATGATTCTGTAACACCATGTCTTTGAGACATCAAGGAATCCTACAGATGATTCTGCAACACCATGTCTCTGAGACTTCAAGGAATCCTACATATAATTCTGTAACACCACGTCTCTGAGACATCAATGAATCCTACAGATGATTCTGTAACACCCTGTCTCTGAGACATCAAGGAATCCTACAGGTGATTCTGTAACACCATGTCTCTGAGACATCAATGAATCCTACAGATGATTCTGTAACACCATGTCTCTGAGACATCAATGAATCCTACAGATGATTCTGTAACACCCTGTCTCTGAGACATCAAGGAATCCTACAGATGATTCTGTAACACCCTGTCTCTGAGACATCAAGAAATCCTACAGATGATTCTGTAACACCATGTCTCTGAGACATCAATGAATCCTACAGATGATTCTGTAACACCCTGTCTCTGAGACATCAAGGAATCCTACAGATGATTCTGTAACACCATGTCTCTGAAACCTTGAGAAATTGTTTGGCTTGTTTATTAACTGTGGGAGGCCATGGTCTAGCGGTTAGACACTCACCTGCTGATCGGAAGGTAGTCGGTTCGGGTCCTGACGAAGCCGAAATTTGTAAAAAATGACCTTGGCTCCCAGGTCGACCCTGTCTTGAGTGGGTATGAGGCGCAGTCCTGGGAGATAAAGGCCGCTGGCGTGATGCTGACATATCACCCATCAAGTGCCGTTTGGTCTATATAATATAGCCCTAGTCCTATATACCAAATACGCCTAAAGGTGTGGGAAAGCGCCCTTTACTTAACTACTCACTTATTAATTGTCAAGATAGACCCAACTTTAAAGAGATGTCTTCTGCTTTCATCAGTGCCCATCAGTACTGTTGTTGTTGTTGTTGTTCGTCCAACACAGGTGGTGATGACTAGTAATTTTATCCACTGGTGACTGGATTAGGTTTTGTGAGTACGCAGGTGGATGATAGGGCCAATTATAGCACTGAAAGCAAATTCAACAGCAATATATTTATTTCGTCTATAAATGTAAAAGCATTTATAGGTTTTTTTGTTTTGTTTACTTGTGTAATTTAAAATGGCAGGGGCGTCATAATTGTATGTGTCTAAGGGCCTCAAAAAGTCTATAACTGGCCCTGGTGGGTCGAAGTAAAACGAAAATTATGTAAAAGCCTGGTATTATGAGGGCCAACAGACTGACATGGCTGGGGCATATTGAGAGAAAGACAGAAGACCGAAAGGTAAAATGTGTGTACGCAAGAGAGCTGAAAAGTCTTAGAAGAGGAGGCAGACCAAGAAGATAATGGAGAGATAATATCCAAACAGACCTGCAAACAGTTGGTGTCACCAAGGGGAAAGAGAAGGCGTGCCAGAGAGAAGAATGGAGGCGGGTGATATCTACAGCAGTGAACCTCAAGGGTTCGGAATGCTGAATTAGAATATGTAACAGACTGAACATTTCACATAATTAAAGCAGAGGCGAAACCCCGGGGACAGTAAAACAGTATATATATTTACACACACACACACACACACACACACACGCACGCACACACGCACGCACGCACGCACAATAAACAGACAATGTATAGATTGGCAGACATGAAAAGAAGTAGAAAGAAAGACAGACACCCTTGTCAACATAAAAATTAAAATCTGCAGTTACCCCGCCGACAGTCGAATCTGTCACCTCCAATTGACAAATACGCCTCGCTATGGAAAAAAGTATACTAAGATAAATGACCATCTATGCACGCTCACATCCCAATGGTAATATCTGCCGTTTTATAACTGTAACAACTCAAACCTCCAATACAGAAATTCGAGTGTGCACGTATCCCAAGGACGTGATTGTTCTCATCGACACCACAACAAGCGTAGGACCCACCAACTACAAGCTGCTGCTTTCCTTCATCGCTGAGTTTATTCGGCACTTCCAATACGGCAACAGCAGAACAAAAGTTGCTGCCCTTTTGTACAGCGATATAGTGCGACAGTTGTTTGATCTTGACGATTACGAGTCCCAGGAAGATGTCATTAATGTAAGTGAATGCAACTACTCCGTCTAGTCAACTCTGTTTTGTTTTGTCATCTCTGAGGATCTATTCTGTGATTTCATTTCTGTTTTGTTTAGTCATCCTGCAGGTCTTCTTAGTGATATCATTTCTGTTTGTTTTGTCATCTCAGCAGATCTACTTTATGATATCATTCTGTTTTGTTTAGTCATCTCTACAGGTCTACTTTGTGAAATCATTTCTATTTAATGTATTCATCTTGCAGGTCTTCTTAGTGATATCATTTCTGTTTGTTTAGTCACCTCTGCAGATTTACTTTGTGATATAATTTCTGTTTTTTTAGTCATCTTGCATCATCTCTGCAGATCTACTTTGTGATATCATTTCTGTTTTTTTTAGTCATCTTGCAGGCCTTCTTAGTAATATCATTTCTGTTTGTTTAGTCATCTTGCAGATCTACTTAGTGATATCATTTCTGTTTGTTTAGTCATCTCTGCAGATCTACTTTGTGATATCATTTCTGTTTGTTTTGTCATCTCTACAAATCTACTTTGTGATATTATTTCTGTTTGTTTAGTCATCTCTGTAGATCTACTTTGTGATATCATTTCTCTTTGTTTAGTCATCTCTGCAGATCTACTATGTGATATCATTTCTGTTTTTTTAGTCATCTTGCAGGCCTTCTTAGTAATATCATTTCTGTTTGTTTAGTCATCTCTGCAGATCTACTTTGTGATATCATTTCTATTTGTTTAGTCATCTTGCAGATCTACTTAGTGATATCATTTCTGTTTGTTTAGTCATCTCTGCAGATCCACTTTGTGATATCATTTCTATTTAATTTAGTCATCTTGCAGGTCTTCTTAGTGATATCATTTCTGTTTGATTAGTCTTCTCTGCAGATCTACTTTGTGATATCATTTCTGTTTGTTTAGTAATCTCTGCAGATATACTTTGTGATATCATTTTTGTTTGTTTAGTCATCTCTGCAGATATACTTTGTGATATCAATTCTGTTTGTTTTGTCATCTCTGCAGATCTACTTTGTGATATCATTTCTGTTTGTTTAGTCATCTTAGCAGATCTACTTTGTGACATCATTTCTGTTTGTTTAGTCATCTCAGCAGATCTACTTTGTGACATTGTTTTTGTTTTATTTAGTCATCTTGCAGATCTACTTTGTGACATGATGTCTGTTTTTTTTAGTCATCTATGCAGATTTACTCTGTTTTGTTGTCTCTCTCTGTTCTGTCCAGTCATGACTATTCTTTTTAGTCCCATGATGACCAAGCATTGAGTAGGTACCAGATGCAATCATGAGAAGTAAAAGCGACAGACGTGATGTTGACTACATCATCCACCAAGTGCTGACTGGTATATAAAATAAGATCTAGCCCTATATGCCCAATGCGCCTTAAGCCGCGGAAAGGGTCTTTGACTTTTTATAAATTTACCCTGGTTAAGTCCTGTGTAGTGTGTCAAGCCATATCTAGTTTGTTTAGTCGTCTCTAAGTTTCTAGTACGTTTAATCACCTTTGTTGTGTTTAACCACCGATGTTCTGTTTAGTGTTTTTTTTAAAGTATGCTGGCAGTAAACAGCGGCTATAAAAATTAACAACTGTTTAGGTACATTTCAAAGCATAAAGAGGGGCGTACGACAAGGATGTGTACTGTCACCTGATTTATTTTCACTATACAGTGAATATTTAATGAGATCTTGAATTGATCTGCCCGGAATTGTGATTGATGGGCATAATATAAACAATTAACCTTATGCTGATGACACAGTCTTGATGGCAACAAGTAAGAAAGAACTACAGTTTAAAAAAATGAATAGACAGAAGTAATGGTGGTATTAAAGAAAAGAATTATTCCTAAATGTGTAATAAAAGTCAGTGGCGTTATTTTGGGACAAGTACAGCAATTTGAGTATCTGGGCACATGGATAACATCAGATGGAAGATGGATTCAGGATATGAAGCAGAATAGGACAGGCAAAACTGCATTTTATAAAATGAAGAACATCTTATGCAATCAATGTCTATCACTGAAGGATAGAAAAAGAATTCTTACTTGCTACATACATCTAGTTTTGACATATGGCTATGAGTCCTGGACAATTGGTAGGCAGGCCAAACAATTTCTTGAGACCTGGTTTTACAGAAGAATGCTTAGAATACCGTGGTCAGCCAAAAAGAGCAACCAATAGGTTTTCTATGAGGCGGGAGCCTGAAGACAACTAATCACAGACCTCAGAAGGAGACAGTCATCATTTTTCGGCCATGTTATGAGAAGAGGGAAAATAGAACATGTTGTGACCACTAGAGAGATCTGTAGAAAGAGGTATAGAAGAAGACAACGAGAGAAGATTCTTGACAGTCTATTTGCATGGCATGGAAGTGTGTTAGCACACACAGTTATACATGCTGCAGGAGATCACTGATTGTGGAGAGGCGTGATCGCCCATGCCAGTCGGCAAAGCCCCTGATAATGATGATTCTAATTAGCTATATATATCAGTCTCAGTAAGGTCTCTACTCTACTTTGTTTAGCCATATCTTATCTGTGTAACTGTTTTTACGCAGTTTAGTCATATTGTCTCTCGTCTATCATATCTTCTAGGTTCAATCCTGTCTTCTTTGTTTAGCCGTATCGTTTCTGTTAAGCCATATTTTCTCTGTTTAGCCATTTCTGTGTTTTGCAATGACTTCTTTGTTTAGCCACAACTTCTCTGTTTGGCCACATCGTCTCTATTTAGCCATATCTAGCCATATAACTATCTGCTTAGTCATATCTTCTCTGTTAAAGCATAACTTCCATGTTTATCTCTCCATTATTTAGCTACTTATTCTATGTGCGGCAATCTTGCATTGGCTGACTTCCAAAATATGACCTTAAACGTTGTGGATGTCTTGGGGATAATGCCTTTCAAAGAATATCACAGGAATAAAGAAAATGTGATATGGCCGGCATAGAAAGTGAATACACAATAACTGAAGTTGCCTATTGCACCCAGCAAGTGCTCATTGTCTATTCAAATATGCGTTTAGCCCCGTATGCCCTAGGGAGACGCCACCGTGTAGTGGCTAGACGCTCGCCAGAGAACCCGAAGCTCATGGGTTCTGGTCCTCACGGAGCCATATTTTTTTTTCCCAAACATTGACCTCCGCTCCCAGGTCGACCCAGCCTTAAACGGGTGCCATGTATAGTCATGGGAAGTAAAGGCAGCCAGCGAGATGTTACCTATAACACCCATTATATGCCGATTATTTGTATATACACAATAGAGGTTTAGCCCTTAATATGCCCAAATACACCCGAAGACGTGAAAAAGGGGCCCCTTTTTCTTGAATTATACTGTATGCCTGATGGCCTATGGCGTGTAAAGTCCCTTTTTTTGTGTGGTTAACATTATCTGCTATTAGTCGGCTTTGTGGCTAAGTCGATGCGAACGCTTTGTCATGCCGGGATGCCGGGTTTAATCCCAGCTGCGGGCCATGCGCCTTGCATTGGTTTTTACAGTGGTATCAAGAAAGCTGACCGTCCAGAAAGCAATGGCAAACTACTGGACGTAAATTTGTCTAGAAAAACCACACAACAGCCAGGGGCTGTTAGGGTTGGTTCTGCAACGTCCTGTAAAGGATACGCAACTAACCTACCTGCTATTAAGGACCGTGCCATCCTTCCCAGATCAGGGCGGACGCCAAAAGTTAGCTACTGATCAAAAAGAGAGGAAGTGTATACGTGAAATGAACACAGCAGTTTCTGGCACTTAGAATGTCCGTTCCTTAAAGCAGTCTGGCTAGCTAGCAAATTTACAACATGAGCTGGAAAGGTATAGTTGGCATCTCATTTGTCTATCTGAGACTAGGTGGAAAGGTATAGTTGGCATCACATTGGTCTATGTCACACTAGGTGGAACGGTATAGTTGGCATCTCATTGGTCTATGTGAGACTAGGTGGAAAGGTATAGTTGGTATCATACTGGTCTTGGTGAGACTAGATGGAAAGGTATAGTTGGTATCACACTGGTCTTTGTGAGACTAGATGGAAAGGTATAGTTGGCATCTCATTGGTCTATGTGAGACTAGGTGGAAAGGTATAGTTGGCATCACATTGGTCTATGTCACACTAGGTGGAAGGGTATAGTTGGCATCTCATTGGTCTATGTGAGACTAGGTGGAAAGGTATAGTTGGTATCACACTGGTCTTTGTGAGACTAGATGGAAAGGTATAGTTGGTATCACACTGGTCTTTGTGAGACTAGATGGAAAGGTATAGTTGGTATCACACTGGTCTTTGTGAGACTAGATGGAAAGGTATAGTTGGTATCACACTGGTCTTTGTGAGACTAGATGGAAAGGTATAGTTGGTATCACACTGGTCTTTGTGAGACTAGATGGAAAGGTATAGTTGGTATCACACTGGTCTTTGTGAGACTAGATGGAAAGGTATAGTTGGTATCTCATTGGTCTTTGTGAGACTAGATGGAAAGAGTTTAGAGACACAACAACTGATCAACGACATGCATTTTTACTTTTGTGGAGAAGATAGAGGATTAAACGGCGTTGGCTTTCTTGTGCATTAAAATATTAGAAACACAATTATTGGATGCAACCCTGTCTGGAGCAGACTGATATCAATACCCTTAAATGCAACCTCTTGCAGTATTACAGTCGTACAAGTCTACGCTCCAACTACAGTCTACGATGACAACTCTACTGAGATTTTCTATAACCGACTACAAAATATTATTGACAAAACACCAAAGAAAGATGTACTGATGAAAATCCAGGGAGACTGGAATGCTAAGGCAGAAACAGATGTGCAGGCAGACTTGAAAGACTCATGTGGACCTTTCCGCAACAAAATCACCAATGAGAGAGGATTCAGACTGCTGGAATTTTGCAAATTGAACATCCTCATTTTAGCTAACACCACACACAAGCACAATGCATCAAGAATTTGGACACGGTTCTCACTAAATAGCGAATATCGCAACCAAATTGAAAACATACTAGTCCAAAATCGTTTTAAATTTGGGATAAACAAAGCGAAGACAATGAGCAATCCAGGAGCTGATGTAGGAGGTGACCACAATATGGTGCTACTTACTACATTTTAGAATCCATCTCAAACGTATAAATCGTGCCAAGACCATACGACTGAAATACGACACTGACAGGCTAAGGGATCCGGTGGTTGCCGAAAATTTCCGGAAATTGCAGGAAAATTTGCTCCCCTGATAAACAATATTAACAGCGTAGAAAAAAAAAGCAACCATGGGTCGCTTAGGAAATTCTTAACGTGTGTGACAAGGGAAGGCACCTCAAGAAAGACAGACACAATCCTCATCTAGCAGACAAGTATAGAGAGATAAATATTCAGATTAGAAAAGACATGCGACAGGCAAAAGAAAGTTGGATAGAAAGCAGATGTGCAGAAATAGAAGACTGTAACAAGTTGAACACTAGTTTTAAAAAAAGAAGCTTTTAGCATTATTTCAAACATCAATCGATGGAAAACGTCAAGAAATAACGTCACCCAAGACACAGAAGGTAAACTATTCGCAGAAAGTAATGACACCCTAAAGATATGGTCTGAATACTGTTCGAGCCTGTATAACGAACAAACAAATAGCAACACTGACATTCTGAAAAACAGCCAAGCACAGGAATATGACAGCTTTCACATACTACGAGATGAATAGAATTGGCCATCAGAACTATTAGGATTGTATAGGATTGCCCAGAAAACACCAGTCCTTGCCTAGAAGCAACCATTATGGAGATCCAAAAACATTTCATGTAAAACTAAGATTCGATTGCTCAAAGCACTAGCTGTTAGTACATTTACATATTTGCTGTGAAAAGTGGACCTTAACAGCTGAACTTGAAAGAAAGATACAAGAATTAGAAATGCGGTGTTTCAGAAAAATTCTTGGCTTATCCTACAGATACCATATTACAAACGAAGAGGTTCGCCATAAAATTTTACAGCACATTGGCAAATATGAACCTTTTCTAACTACAGGGAAAAGTCAAAAAATGCAATGGTATGGACACGTAATAAGATCTAACGGCCTCTCAAAAACAACACTGCAGGGCTCAGTAGAGGGAAAGAGGAGAAGAGGCAGACCAAGAAAGACCTGGTTACAGAACCTGACTGACTGGACAGGCCTCAGGCATGCAACCATGAAGTCCATCGCAACTGACTGCCAAAGGTGGAGAAAGCTGACCAGACAGTCAACAGAAACTGGTGACCCGACGGTAGATAGTGTTACGGGATGATGATGATGATTACCTGTAAAACAAAAACGAAGAAACACACACGTGCACGCGCCCACACACACTGATTAAATAACTTTCTGCTTCCTACAGGCGATCTTGGCTGCCCCATATCTGGGCGGGAACACAATGCTTAACCTGGCGTTTGACTACGTTCGAGAGAATGCTCTGTTCGATACAATCAGGGGTGGTAGGTCAAATGCTCCTGACTTCGTTATCGTGTTTATCGACGGCCCTTCCATGAATTCTGCTCTTGGTAAGTTTACTTTTAGTTATCAGTGTCTACTCGTCTATTCATAGATGTTAGTAAGTCTACTCATAGATGTTAGTTAGTCTACTAGTAGATCTTAGTAAGTCTACTGTTAAATGTTTTGTAAGCCTACTCTTAGATGTTAGCAAGTCTATCTGTAGATGTTAGTAAGCCTACTTGAAGATGTTAGTACGTCTACTTTTAGATGTTGGTACTTCTGCTCGTAGATGTTAGTACGTCTACTTTTGGATGTAAGTACGTCTACTTGTAGATGTTAGTACCTCTACTCGTAGATGTTAGTACCTCCATTCTTAGATGTTATTAAGTCTACTCGTAGTTGTTAGTAAGTCTGCTTGAAGATTGTAGTAAGTCTACTCGTAAACGTCAGTAACTCTACTTGTAGATGTTAGTAACTCTACTCGTAGATACCAGGCAGAGTGGCAAGCATAGATTCAGAGGTCCTGGATAGTTAGCATTCGTTGGGTATTTTGATCGAGGCATGCAGGCGTGTTGGGAAATGAAAAGATAGACAAATGGGCAGTTTCTGAACAGTAGTGAGTAAATTTACTTACGACAAGCTAAATATGGTCAAGGCCATTTGGGAGCTAGTGAACAATGCGGAGATCTAAAAAGTGGTAAAAATAGGGGTGACTACAGTTAAGCTAATGCCAAGGAATTAATCAAGTGAGCCATGACTGAAAAGCCTAACCAAATATGGAAGCAGAATAACGGGCACAAAACAATGGTAAAGAAAGGAGTGTTTGGAGTACTCTCCCCCTTGTTATAGCCGTTGTAGTTCTTGTCGAGAAAGGCCCAGCGCCAAAACATCCTTTTGTGTTGTTTTGTGCACGTTATTCTGCTTCCGGATTTCGTTATTCTTTTCAGAAACCGTTCATTAGATTAATTTCTTAGAACAATGAGGAGGCACGGAATAGATGATTATAGTGTGGAGAGAATGGTACATATAGGAGTGAAGAAAGGATGTGGTTCACACTCTACACTTGGTACGTATAATCAAACTGCTACCGTCCCCCATCGGAAAATTTGACCACTTTTCTGGTCGCTAAATATGAGGACTATCCCCGAGTGACGTAATGCCACTTCTTTGTTTACTACTCAAAACGGTATACAGGACAAGTACAATAAAACCGATGCGACACAAGACGCGTAAAAAATCAAATACTTTTAGGTGCTTTATTAATATCCTACCCCAAACAGGAGAAATCCCCAGGTCACGAAAGAGTCTGATATTTCAGGGGATGGTAAATAGGCTGCATGCAGCCGTAGGACTTAGGCTGCAATTTCTCGTGGGACGTAGGTAGGTTGGGGTTAGGGCCTGTTCTAAATGTTTTGTGGTCGTTAAAAACATCAGAAAGCGGTAAACCCAGTCTTACCACCCTCTAAAATGATTGACGATCCTGCGACGTCATCTGGGGGGTAGGATGTTAAAAGAACTTACTTTTTCTTCTATTTCCAGCAAGGGCAGCAGCTGAAAACCTCAAAAACCAGGACGTGACAATCATTGTTGTAGCTATCGGCAACGAGGTGTCGGTGGCAGAGCTGAGCAGTGTGGCGAGCACACCGGGAGACCTGCTCCTCGTTCAGGGCGGCTTTGAATACCTGGACTACGTTCAGCAGAAGCTTGATCGGCGCGTCTGCTCAGGTACGTATATACCTATTTCAATTGTTTCTTCTTTTTTCCCCTCTCCTTCTCCTTTTTCTTTCTTTTTCTTCTTCTTCTTCTTCTTCTTCTTCTTCTTCTTCTTCTTCTTCTTCTTCTTCTTCTTCTTCTTCTTCTTCTTCTTCTTCTTCTTCTTCTTCTTCTTCTTCTTCTTCTTCTTCTTCTTCTTCTTCTTCTTCTTCTTCTTCTTCTTCTTCTTGTTCTTCTTCTTCTTTCTTCTTTTTCTTCTTCTTCTTCTTCTTCTTCTTCTTCTTCTTCTTCTTTTTCTTCTTCTTCTTCTTCTTCTTCTTCTTCTTCTTCTTCTTCTTCTTCTTCTTCTTCTTCTTCTTCTTCTTCTTCTTCTTCTTCTTCTTCTTCTTCTTCTTCTTCTTCTTCTTCTTCTTCTTCTTCTTCTTATTCTTCTTCTTCTTCTTCTTCTTCTTTTCTCCTTCTTCTCTTCTTCTTCTTCTTCTTCTTCTTCTTTCTCCTTCTTCTTCTTCTTCTTCTTCTTCTTCTTCTTCTTCTTCTTCTTCTTCTTCTTCTTCTTCTTCTTCTTCTTCTTCTTCTTCTTCTTCTTCTTCTTCTTCTTCTTCTTCTTCTTCTTCTTCTTCTTCTTCTTCTTCCTCTTCTTCCTCCTCCTCCCCTCTTCTTCTTCTTCTTTTTCTTCTTTTTCTGCTGCTTTTTCTTAATATATCCCTAATTTCCACTAAGTACTAAAGGAGCAGTGTGTTTATCCTGCCCCCACCCACCCCGCCCACCACCCCGCCCCCCTTCCCAATGTGTCACCTAAATCTACACAGGAAGCCTTGCTACCTAAAGGACCAGATTCCTCCACAGTATGGTTATAGACTGGTTCTAGACTGACTGCTACCTCATGTCTTTAAGGAAACGTAGGCACTTCGTCTACTGAATTGATCACCTCTGTGTCTGCTGTGTTCGGAAAATAGAAAACTTCAGGCCAAAGTGGCCGATAGCCGGATGACTGCTGAATTTCTAAAAAGTTATTTGCTTTTAGCTGGGTTTTGAAGATGCAAAATCCTCATTTCTGGACCAGGAGTCGCCTTTATTCTGAATTAATTGTTTGGTGCCGCACTGTAAGCTGTGAATTTCATATGGCATGATTTGTTTTAATGTATCCGCGGTTTGTTTCTGACTTCTTTAAAAAGGCGAGTCGCCTGTTAATTTCATAATGGTGTGCACCTTTTCGCAAATGACCGATTCCACCAACATGCGACAGTGAGTTGCATTTCTGGTGTTAGTTTAGGCACACCTAACAGCTAACTTATGCAGTTTTACTTTGCGTGTGCAAGCTTCAACAGTTTGCGGGGACTGATAGGTTTCCTAGTTATTTTCAATCGCGACAGCGAAGAAAACCTTACCTGATTCGCACTGGCATAGGAACAGAGCGGGTATGGAGCGATCCATTTTCGGTAGTGTTGGAACTTTGATTAACCCAAGTTAATCCCTTCCATACCGCCTCGACGGGGATTTGAACCTATTGCAAAAGATACAGGCAAGTGAACTAACCACTGCTCCTAAAAAAGATGTAGAATTTAAAAGACTAGTGTCATTCCCAGGCTACCATTGTCTGTTTACATATGGCTTCTAGTCCTTTTCTTGATGTTTACCGACTAAAATCATGGGTGGAACACCCTGGCTGTTGTCCACTTCTGGACTTTGACCCTGTTCCAAGACTTGAGCGCTGCGTGCACCTCCATTTTACAGATCTAGCTTATTCGTGTGCAGACTGTGTGGTGGCAAATGAAAATGATAATTCTAGTTATCTCAGATTGATAGACAAGAGATAAGAGTTTTGTCTTCAGACAAACTGACGCTCACGGAACTTCTTTCACCCCAAGCCACACACGGGTTCATTCTAGGAAGAAGAAATAAAAAAGCACGTGGCAGACTGGTACAGCAATAGATAGTAATCATCATTATCGTCATTATCATAATTATCATCATCATCCTTTTCATCAGCAGGGCTTTTTCTTTTTAAAAATGGTGCTGGGATTTACCACAAGTCGGTGTCTGTGCCTACCAATATACTACTATTTCTGCTGCTATTATTACTGACACAATTACTGTTACTGCAGTTGCCTCTACTACTACCAATACTACTGCTGCTGCTGCTGCTGCTACTACTACTACTGCTGCCACTACCATCATCCCTATTACTACGCATTCGTTTTCCAATTGCTGTTTTTGCCAACTCTATAACCACAATGATGAATACTAATAATATACTTCTATTGTTGCTGCTGCTACTGCTACTACTACTACTACTACTACTACTACTACTACTACTACTACTACTACTACTACTACTACTACTACTACTACTACTACTACTACTACTACTACTACTACTACTACTACTACTACTACTGCTACTGCTACTACTACTACTACAACTACTACTACTACTACTACTACTACTACTACTACTACTACTACTACTACTACTACTACTACTACTACTACTGCTGCTGCTGCTGCTACTGCTGCTGCTGCTGCTGCTGCTGCTGCTGCTGCTGCTGCTGCTGCTGCTGCTGCTGCTGCTGCTGCTGCTGCTACTACTACTACTACTACCACCACCACCACCACCACTACTTTCGCTACTACTATAACTACTACTTTAACTTATACTAGGAGCCTGCATGGTCTCGATGCATGGTGTGCACCTCGGGTGCTAGAGGTTCTGGGTTTAATCCCAGCTGGAAATCGAAAAAGTAGCCTAAATTTGCTGCCCGGGCAAAATTTGTAGTTAAAAATCTACTCAAAATATACCAGGATCCTCGCCGGTGCAACGGAGTTCGTGCACTACGCTGAGATTCGACAGACGCAGGCTTGAGTTAGAAGTAAAACGGAGCACTTAAGGCTTGCTACCCGTGTGCAATAATGTTGTTTCGTAAATAAACATAAACAGGTCGTGTAATTTATTACATGTGGGCGTCATAGTTGAGGCGTTGCGAACGCGGTTTGTAATTCCGACACACAATCCTATTCCAGCTGCAAGCGATTTGGCAGCAAACCCTATTGCGTTGATATCGAGAGTGATATCCAGAACCGACCTTTCAGTCGCAGTGGCAAACTACTGAATGTAGAAACTGCCTAGTAAAACCACAACTGCCATTAAAAGCTGGCGCTGGCTACGCAACTAAAAGTTTTTTTTTTTTGTTCTTTATCCGCCAGTGGCACATTGGGCATGTAAGGTTATACTAATTAGTGGATGATGTGGTCAACATCACGCTGAGTCGCATTTACTTCCACTGACTTTACCTGGTTTAAGACCGGGTTGACCTAAGAGCCTCAGTCATTTGTGGAAAAGAAAAAAAAATACGGCTCCAAGCGTATTTGAACCTACTACCTTCGAATTCGCAGGCCAGAGTCTAGCCAATACACCACGGCGGACCGCGGATAGGCAACTAACTTTATATTACTTCATTGTCCTTCTGTCCAAATGTGTGTCAATACCGTGTGATTTTATATGACTTTGATGATTCCCAATGGCTGATATTTGTATGTTAACCATGTTTTTCAGAAACCGACGATTAAGAACGTGACGTTTTACACACAGAAGCTGGCAAACTGCCACACAGTTCTGTGACGTAGTCGGCCAGCCCATTGGGCAAAAAGCCAATTAAATCAACATAGGCTGAAATTCTATTGTAAATTCTTGTTGCTTATTTTCTAAATTGTTCTCATTTTTGGTGTTGTCTTTGTAAACGAGAAATAAAAGGACAGTTTTCACACCTTTCAAAGCAATGGGAATCCAGTACTAGGCCTATTTTTTAGGCCTTTCATTCCGCAAAAGAAAGTTGAAAGGTCACAGACCACGATGTAGACCAGGAAAACGACAGATAGATAATAACCATGCACGCCTTGTATACAAACACTTGGAACCACACCAGCTGGAAAGATAGGGCCAGACGCAGAGATGATTGGAGGCGGGTTATCTGCAGCAATGAACCTCAAGGGCTCGTAATATGAAGAAGCAGACCCAATCAAAAACCTCTTCTTCCGCCCCCCCCCCCTCTATTTTCAAGAAAACTTTCCTGAGCATTTATAGAAATTATCCTTTAAAGTTTTTGTTCATACATGTTATGTTATTTCATATATTAGTATTGTATTTTTTTGGCCATTCAGTATGAGAATAATAATAATAATATTAATAACGTATTTAATGACCCAAAAATATAAAAATGTACATGGAACCTAGGAGCCGGAGCAGCAACTCCTGCCCCTTCTCCAATACACACACACACACAGGCGCGCTCGCATATACACACAAATTTCTATAAATTTCACATTATTTAAAATGTTTTGCCTTCTCAGCATATACTAATAATAATGAGTATTATTGTTACTGTTCTGCAGTCGAAGAGAGCTAAAGTCCGTTTTGCCCCCCCCCCCCCTCCCCCTTTTTCACTGACAGGGATTAATCATTTTTTGTTTAGACTGTTCAGTATGAATTTACTAGAATTGAAGCCTAAAATAATATTGAAAGAGGAGGAGATAATATTGAAGGATAATATAAAAATCTACTCCTTGAACCTGTCACTACTCCAGACCTACAAGAGCTCCAATGTCGTGGTGAGTGGAAGCAAACTCACACTTAAGCTGCCTCAGTAACAAGAAAAAAAAAAAACAACAAGAAGAGTTCGTTAGGCAGGGCTAAGACCATACTATCTTACCCTTACAGGATATGTTCTGTATGAAGTCTAATCAGCAGTAACAGTAAAACTAGGTAAACTAACTACAAATCCTAATCTGAATCAAAACAACTGGATCTATAATTATCGCACTAAACATTTTTTTTTTTTTTTTACCCAACCCAAAACCAACGTTGTTTCACAGATAATATTATATAGCGATTAACCTCACGCCCATACACACCACATGCTAAGCACTTCAACTCACAAAAGTGAAAATTCGCTCCTAGCGACAAAAAACCCAATATCTATTAGCAATGACACTCGCTGATATATCTAGCTCTACACAGTTTAACTACTAGAGACAAATTCAGATTTAACTCGGATGGAAATGTATATCTTACCATAGACATGCTACCGCCATGAAATCAATAAGTCTACCGTCGCTCGATCGCCCAAATCCAGACTGCTATGCCCATGTGCGTGCAATCTCCGCTGGGTGGGAGCTCCTGTCCTCGGGCGACCGGCGCGGTCAGAATGCTGTAAGCCGAATGGGCAGTTTTCCAGGTGCATAGGCTTTTTATCAACTCTTGATCTCCTGGGTGCCAGATTCTCCTAGTCAGCGGAGCTAGACAAATAAATCATGACCGGCATTGGCCACCCGGCTAAATTTATAACAATACAAGATATTATCAATATTGCACAATTATGCAGCCTCCTCCAAGACAGAAAAAAAAAAAGAGACAACAATACAAGTTAAACCACAAAAAAAAAAAAAAAAAAAAAACTATCCCCTGTATGGCTTTCTGGGTCCAAGTGTGTGTAAGTGTGTGTGTTTGGGGGGGGGGAGGGGGGGGGGGGGTTGGCGGTGGTATAATAAACAAACTGTCTTCCTAATGAGCATGTCTTAGGAGTCGACTAATTATGTGCTCATTCGAAGTCAGAATATTTTTGCCCAAGAGACACGGAACCAACAGCCTGCATAGGTAAGAAATGTCTGTAAAACAAGTGTGCACACAAACTTCAAGTTTTGGAGCAAGATCAAAGTCCAGAAGTAAACGAACAGGCACAATTTTTCTGCAGGAGTTTATAGCTGGTGAATGCCAAGAAGAAGAAGATGAAGAATACGAAGAAGAAGAAGAAGAAGAAGAAGAAGAAGAAGAAGAAGAAGAAGAAGAAGAAGAAGAAGAAGAAGAAGAAGAAGAAGAAGAAGAAGAAGAAGAAGAAGAAGAAGAAGAAGAAGAAGAAGAAGAAGAAGAAGAAGAAGAAGAATGAGAAGAAGAAGAAGAAGAAGAAGAAGAAGAAGAAAAAGAAGAAGAAGAAGAAGAAGACGAAGAAGAAAGAAGAAGAAGAAGAAAAAGAAGAAGAAGAAGAAGAAGAAGAAGAAGAAGAAGAAGAAGAAGAAGAAGAGAGAAGAAGAAGAAAGAAGAAACAGAAGAGAACAGAAGAAGAAGAAGAAGAACAGAAGAAGAAGAAGAAGAAGAAGAAGAAGAAGAAGAAGAAGAAGAAGAAGAAGAAGAAGAAGAAGAAGAAGAAGAAGAAGAAGAAGAAGAAGAAGAAGAAAAAGAAGAAGACGAAGAAGAAGAAGAAGAAGAAGAAGAAGAAGAAGAAGAAGAAAAGAAGAAGAAGAAGAAGAAGAAGAAGAAGAAGAAGAAGAAGAAGAAGAAGAAGAAGAAGAAGAAGAAGAAGAAGATACAAAGTATAAGAAGAAGAAGATAACAAGTAGTAGAAAAAGAAGAAGAAGAAAACGAAGAAAAAGAACAAGAAGAAGAAGAAGAAGAAGAAGATACAAAGTATAAGAAGAAGAAGATAAAAAGTAGTAGAAAAAGAAGAAGAAGAAAAAGAAGAAAAAGAACAAGAAGAAGAAGAAGAAGAAGAAGAAGAAGAAGAAGAAGATAATAATAATTAAAATGATAATAATTATGGATAAAGGCTGAATTTTAAAGATAAGCTTGGCGCATAGACACCAGAAGAACCTGTGGGACTTTGGGAGTTTCAGCATAACGCCACACACACAAACACACGCCGAAGATGGTCATTCACAAAATAAGAAATTATCTAGGTATATAAAAATCAATATTTGTGTGTTTCTTTATGAGCTATACACTCGGAAACTACTGAACTGATTCAGCTGAAATTTTCAGGATATGTTTGTTTTGATACCGGATGTTCACCCATCATGGTTTGAAATTCAACCTGTCATTGTTAAAGATAGTGTGCGACAATTTTTGGGAAAATATTCGAAATTAATATTTCAATTTTTAGTGAGTTAATTATAGCCACGTTAGTAAATGCATGCGCCATAGTCAAAACGCAAGACTTCCACCATTCGCTGGCGAGACACGTGCAGCCAACGCCTTCTCTAATACATAGAGTAGGTCGTGGTACAGCAAACAAAACTATATATTTGTGTAGGCAATGATTGCCACAATAATCATTTAAACACGATTTCTATTTTCTGTTTTTTTCCCAAACATTCTTCGATGAGTCGGAAAGTAGCCGATGGATTGGAAGGGAAAAAAAAAAGGGGGGGGGGGGGCATCAAGGACTATATCGACGTCGGCGCAGACATTGACTGCGATATTAACCGTGTTAGACACGTGCGATTTCTATTGTTGTGCCGTTTCAATAATATATCTGGAATATCTGTCTATGAGAAAACAATTGCCTGCTGTTTTGAGTTGTATTATAATCGAGACACTGTAGTAGGGACACACATCTCCAATAGTTTAGTTCTCTTTTCGTTGCTTCGATGAAGTGGCTGCTTGGTCGAATGCTTAGAACACTGGGCTTCTGTACAGGAGACCAGAGTTCGAATCCGCTGTAGTTTTTTTTTAAATCCGGGGCTAAAAAAAAATCCTCACCTGCACTGTCGTGGCGACAGCACTAGCCATGTCGCCCTTAATACTAAAAAAAATTTGAAAAAAAAAAAAATAAAAAGGGCAGGTATGTGAGTAAACCATTTAATAATTAAATTTGACCATTTCGCATACTTATGATTTCATTTTTAAACTTTCCGATTGCGTGGTTACGCCGACATTTCATAGCTTTCTATTTATTTTCATTTAGATTTACTTATTTCATCTGCGTTGGAATTTTAAGCTGTGCAGCTTACCATAGCGTTCATTTCCTAATTATGGTTTATTTTTCCTGTTTACATTTGCTTTTTAATTGGTTTTTTTTCTCCTAACTACTTCAATGAGGGAAAGAGTAGTCGGTGATTTAATTTGGGGGGGGGGGGGGGGGGGGAGAGTCAATTACAACAACAACAAAATGTCGCCAGGTGA